TATAATTTAAATTAGGAAATGCACAAAAGTTTTAGGTGTGTTGATAGCATTATGACACTGTGTGCCACGTCAGATATGACTTTGTGGCATGATGTATCTTAATTTTGCTAAATGGAAGAGTAAAAAAAAAAAACAAAACTAATTTAGCATCTCTGAAATTGCAGTACTTTATTTCAGTTCTTGGTAAAAAAAATATTTTGTGAATTTTCAACCTGCAAATATATAAGTTCAAAGAGAAAAAATTAAATCATCCTTTGATAAAATAAATTGTAATAGTGAAGAGCAATTCAAAAAGATGAGTGTTTTGTACTCTCGTAGCTTAGGTGATCAAATACATTTTGGAACATCCATCCCAAAATGACAATTAGCAAAATGGAGTCACAGCATTTGAAAATTGAATTATAAATCTCTGAAAACTGTGGAAATGTTACAGCTATTTCAGTAAAATAGTAATAATATACTATTGATTATACTTTTTGACCTAACTAGGAAAAAATATTATTTTATGGAAAGGGAAGTTCTGAAGTTTTGAGTATGAGGTGCAAACATTTGACTAAACTATGTGTGGATTCTTACAAATGTCAATTTTGTTTTTAGTCAAAGTAACTTTTTTTACTACTATTTTTCATTTAGGAATATATCCTTCATCTTTTAGGTACTGGTAACTGCACATTTTTTCTCAAAAGAAAACCTGTACCAAATTAAATTATGTGTTATCAACTCAATCCTAGAATTTTTAGACTACAAATTTGCAACAGTTCAAGAAAAACGTGTATTATATTGAAGATTGTGGTATATTAGAACCATGTTAGTCAGATACAATTTGTGTTCATAGTATGAACTCAAAGCTTTTCAATTACTGTTGTCTAAACGATGCCTTTAAAACCTTATTCATATTAGGCAGTTGAATAAAAGATTTCACATTGCAAAAAGCAATTTTGCTGTCATTATCTAAAATAAGAGGGCCCTAGGAAGAAAGGATTATCATATATTAAATAAAAAGTTCACCACCTTGCAGCTTTAATCCCTTTAGAAAAGATTATTTCTATCTAACTTAATCAGCCAGAGGTCTTTATTGCCTGGAGTATTAATTGATTTAGGTCTTCATTAAGGTCAGAGGTACCCGTGGCTGACCAGAGGCAGCCTATTAGCGTGTTGTCAGTTCTGCTGCTTTACACTGACTGAACCTAATGGTGGGTCGTGTCACTGTTAGGTCAGGGGGTCGCTGAACCTTTTGTGCACTCTGACCTGTTAAAGGGCAGCAGTCACTCAGTCACCAAACTGCATTCATAGCAAAGGTTTGGTTGATTGCATGTTGACTCCATCCTTTCCAAGGAACATGAATTTGTTCATGTGGTGCAACTATTAGCATTCACCTAAATATCTGTGAGTGAATGCTTTTGATCCTTCTGTTAGAAGTTCCTTGACATTTTTATATTATGTCAGTTAATCACCAGCAAGTTTAGTAATACGAGATGGAAAAGTTTCATAAACTTTCCATAGTTACTCTTATCCTTTAATTAAAAAAAGAAACAATTCAGTGCATATCTATAGGTATCCTATTACTTCTGTTTCTTTATAGGCAATAATAATAGCAGTGTTCTCTTGCTAATTAGCAGCTTAACATAATCCTTATGTTCAGTTAAGTCTGTTTTTCTCATTGTTTCTTTTCCTGATTTATATTTTGTGGGAAATATGTTGTGTCCTTTTGGTAACTTACAATACTGTTAATAACTTTTTCATTCACAGTTCAAAGTGGCACCAAGTGTTATTCTGACTTTTTCTTTCCATGGTACTATAGATGCTTTCGTTCTGCTTTCCTAGTAAGTGAAAGCAGCTTTAAAAAAAGAAAAAAAATTGTTATACTGGCTTCCATCTGTGTTAGTTGTGATCTAGCTCTATATTATCCCTGCAACACAGCTACACTATGAAAAGTAGTAGTAATTCTCAACAAGATAGTGGCTTTCTATGAGAGCGTGAATTGCATCCTCTGAGGTTCTGATTGTCCACTGAACTCCCTTCACTATGCTAACTCAGTTCTGCTAACTGAGCAAAACAGATGCTAAATATTATGTTAACTTATTAGGACTTGCCTTTCATTTAATTTACAGTGATACAAATTAAAATAAAAAGGGAAGAAATGTGGAATCAGGTGAGGTCCCCTTTATAACCTGCTTACTTCTGTGGAACTATATGGGAAATAAATTGGTACAAGGGACCATCTCAGCAGTATGAAGTTTTGTGTGGGGGTGGGTTTTTTGCTTGTTTACTTGTTTTTGTTTGCCAAGTCTTTAATGAAATTTTAGCATTGGAAATATGTGTATAGTCTGCAGTGAAAATCAAATTACCAGTGAGACATCCACGGTATAAATACAGATCCTTTAAGGATCAATACAGATCTTTTTTATTGTAAGTTTTTTTCTATGCTGAATTTACTGAATATGCAAGTTCTCTAGACTTGATACACCGTGAATCTATAGCCTGAAAGATCTTCTGTTATCCTCGTAAATGTTCCAAAAAGATAAACTGTTGCAAGGTTCTAGCAGGGTTTTGCAGAACACTTTCACAACACAAGGACTGACACCATACATTGTGACAGCTCCTCTGGTAAAATTTCAGTGCTGTGAACAAGATAGTATGATGACTTCCCTATTTTAAATGCTTTTTACTCTGCTAACAATTTTCTGTGTAATGCTTCAAACATTCCGAAGATGACCTCTTGAAATCTGCTAAAGTGGTGTTTGTACTGGTTTGCTGCTTTGTTCTTGGTGATTATTTATGCTTGCTTTTTCTGACCAAGTCACTGAGAAAGAGAAGAGGGATGTCACTCCTCCTTCCCTTATCCTAAATTATGTCCCACTGAAATACAGTTACTGCAAATCTGTGGCCGTTTATTGACCCTTTTCCCCTTGTGTCCACCCTTTCATAACATGGTGGCTTGTTAGGACCACTGTTTTTCTATTAATTGCATCTTAAGACACAAACAAGTATGTTAGGAACAGAGGGATTTTTTCAATTGATTTTTAAAGAACTCTGCAAAATTCCCACTGAATCTGAGCCAAAAGTGGTGCCAATTTTGCTCAAATCCTTCAGAGATTTTCTTATGACCTTGCTTATGACCAGTGGAACTAATTGTATCAGAACTGTCCAGGATACTTTCGGAAAGTGCTATCTTGGTCTGTATTTCAAAACACTGACAGATATTTTATCGTTAATTAGTATTCATATTATGTCTCAAACAATCTGTTCAAGAATAGGGGAAGTGAACTGGTTGAACAGCTCTTCTGTCTACCTAATAATTAACATGGGCGATGCATGGAAAACCAGCAGCTCAACAGGGGAAAAAAAGGAAGAAATACTGCCAATGTGATTTTTTTTCAGTAGAAGTATAAACTACCTGCATTGGAGTTTTTGACTAATGCATGAATTTCACTTTGCAGAGGTGAAAATGAATGGTTTGCTTTAAAAACAAACCTGTGCCCCTCTGAATCATATCTTCCTGAATTTGTTTCTCATCTTGTCAGTATGCCACTTGGTAGCTGGCTGGACTCCCTTGTTCAGTGGCATGTATTTTAAAATAGCACTGAAAAAAAAATAAATTGTTCCTATAAATCAAAATATTGCTTGCATATTTTTTTCCAAATTCAGGATTATACATAGCATTATCAAACAATATTTCAGATATTTTAAACAATTTAAATAGTTGATGGGTGTCAGTTGATACGTTATGTTTCCTCTCTACCTCCTCCCCCTCTTCAGCTGCTAATCATAGAACTGGTATGCCAAATTGTATAAGATACTCTTCCAATAGTTACATGTGTGAGTCTTTTGTGAGACACAGACAGTTATGAGGACAGATTTGGAGTTGCATATGGGTCTGTCACATGGTTTGATTGCCATTGCCTAAGACACAGATTTCTTTTTTAATTATTCGTAATTCTGAGGAATTTTTACATTTGATACAGCAAGTTCTACAAAATTCTTCCAAAGATTTCTTGCACAGTCCATTTTCCCTCTCTTTAGTCTTAGCAAAATTCTTGCTGTGCTGACTTCAAAGCTGCTTATGCCCGCCTTACTTCCCACTTCTATACTTAGTTTTCTTTTGATAGTGAATAAAATTTACTGTTGCACTGATTAGGAGAGACACAGACTTCCTAGAGAAGTGCAGCATAAGACGATGAAAAGTTTGATATTTACATTAAGATTTTATAATAAATCTTGGAGATGTCTGAATAGTAAAAATAAATGTTTCTCTTACTGGCTGCTGTTAGAAAAGTAGGTCTTCAGAGTGTTGCTGGGAAGATTTTGGAAAATCAACCCAAAGTAACTGCATTACAGCTCAACTTAAAATATATATTGATGGCATATCTGACCACCCATTTAATTCTATTTTCAAAAGGTGACCCATCTCTTTGTTCAAGTAGCATTCTTCTACTTTTTATTTTCAATCTGCAATTTCCTTTTACCTTCTGGTGGAATATCATCACTTTTTTTCATACATAGTCTTTTAGGTGTTCTACAAGTATATTTTTATAATATTTTTAAATTAGTTTACTAAAGGTATTACAGATATGTACTGATACTTTCTTATACAGTTTTACATAAAACAAAGCTTAAGACATAGATGTTTAAGTAAATAGCATTGAACCAAATATAATGTGCATCATGACTCAAAAAAAGAAAGCAAGAACCTATGTTGGGGCATCAGTGTGGTCCAGCAGCTGTAAAAGTCCATAACATCAGATGTTATTGTTTTGAGCTGACGCATATATTCATGTATTAACTGTTAGGTTGCAGTTTATTGCAGTGCTGTGTTTCTATATTGTAGTTAAATCCCTGTAAAAATTATATTTAGACTGGCATGTTTGTTCCATTTGTGACAAATGATGGCAAAGAACAGTACTATTGAAAGAAACTACCTTGAAAATAGAAATGTGCTTCCCTTGTCTTAGAATCTCAAACTCTTAGAATCTTATTTACTTATTTTTATTCTCTTCTAGGTTGGAGATGTTCTCTACTGTGCTGGACAGATTGCTCTAGTACCTTGTACGATGCAGCTTGTTAGTGGTGGCATACGGACAGAGGCTGTAGTTTCCCTCCGTCATGTTGAGCGAGTTCTTCAAGCTATGAGCCAGAAGACTGCACTCCACCACGTCATCACAGCCAGCTGCTATGTAACTGACAGCAAGCACATTCCTATTGCTCACTCTCTATGGCAGAAGAAATTAAGAGAATGTAAAAAGGTAGTTGTGATACCCATTTTCTTCTTTCTGGGTTGTCTTTTTTTTCCCTTTAAGTCTTGTAGTAATATCAGAATTTTCTCAGTACATTTCAGAGAGGTTCAAGTAAAGCTGATACAATATGGTTTGATTGATCTGTTGTATTCTGGCTTATAAATGGTTGAGCAAAACTGAGAAAGAAAATTGCATAATAGAAAGTTATATTCACCACTAACTTTGTCTTAATTCCCCAAAGCACTGTGTTAAAGGACTCTTAAAGAACAGTCAATTTCTCTAACAAAAATGTGAACAATACCTCATTTGAATTACTTCTACTCATATATTTTTGCATAATAAGAACTGGGCATTTTACTTCAACTTTTTATGAGAGAGGTTTTTTCCCCCACTCTTTTTTACAAGCACTATTGTCATGACAACTGAGATTAACAATTTGCTGCTCATTATTGCTTTATATTCAGTTGGACTTTTTAAGACCAGATCAGGACATGCCTGTCTATTGGTTAACCCTAGTTTAACAATTTAATAATTTGCACAGTGATTTATAATGATAGCATAATAATTTCTGTTATTTTTGTGCCACTTTCTTAAGTAGCCATAAGACTCCCTGTCAGTATTAAAAGGTAGTGGCCACAAATCTTGTAAAAAAATGTAACTTCTCCACAAATGCATAAAAATGAGAATAGTAACTGCATAATTGCTGTATAATTTAATATAACCTAATTATTATGTTTTCTCAAGGAAACACATGGCTTAGAAGCATAGAATATGTTAATATTGCCATAGAAGAAGGAAAAAGGCACCTGAAACTTTCCTTTTATTTACCTTTACTTTCGTTCTCTGCACTATACACTTGTCTTTCTGAGTAAAGATGTAGACTTCACTTAGATGTTTACACGTTCCAACTCGATTTACTAATAAAGGACCCTCTTAAATAGTGTTTATTACTCCTCCAAGAGCAGATTCAGTTTTTTAAGTTCAGTTCTGTTTCTTGCACTGTGACTGGTTAGTAACATGTACCATGACCATGAAGCCTGCCTGCTTTCTGATTCGTAATATGTATGACTGGAGGATAGATTGGTGATGTTTGCCTGTCCTTTGAAACTATTCCTTTTCCCAGATAGAAGCCTTTGGGTCCTCTGTAGTTATTATACTTACCAACTACTCTTTATCAAGACTTTTTTTTCTTCCACTTACTGATATGACTAGGCAGTACTTTTTTTTTCTTTTTTTTAACTACATGAAAAACACTGATGAGGTGGTTTACTTTTGTGCTATTACTAGTATCTATTCCATGTAACTTTTTGATTGTTCAAACCATAGCTTAAAAAATGGATTGTTGCCTACATGTACTCCTGTGAAGAGATAACTGCCTGACTGTTTCCAGGAATCTTTAACAAAAATGTCCTGCAATCAGGCATCAGGCAATACAGGAGGATGTTCATCAGTCTTATGCTATGCTTATCAGATCATAATTCATTATTGACAGTATCAGAAAGAAAAAATATATTAGCAGATAGAGTAATGTCTGTCACAACACAATCAAAGCATGCTTTGGAAAAAACTGAATACAAAAGGTAATGAGATGTTATTAGCAGCTGGATGTTCCAGTTTCTCTATAATTTTACCAATAGTAGGTTCAGACAAAGGAATTGAATTTTTCCTCAGGATACACATGTTTTTTGATTAGTAAGGGTTTGTGTACACAGTAAAGCACAGTAAAACACTTCTGTTCCAAGGAATCAGAGAGAGGAATTATCGTGCTCTGAAAATACAGTTGTCCTGTTGATGGAAATAGAAGTTTTCTATTGGAAAATGATAAATTGTACAACATCTGTATTTCTGCCTCAATGATACCATGGAATCAATGAAAACAGGTAATGTAGTTTTTACTTAGAAGCAGCCTTCTGGATTCTGTAAGATACTGCCTTTCTGTGTGTCTGAAGTCATATCCCTTACCTGTGTGGTTTTGTTTATATTTCGGTATCCTGGTGCTACTATAGACAGTTCTGTTGGATACTGTGACATGAAATAATGGTCTGTTTTCTTCAAGTAAACTAAATCAGCCAAACCAAAAGTATTTTATTATTCTTGAAGTGTATTTCAAGCAGTGGCCAAAGGCCTGAACCAGTAGCAACCCACAGATTACTTAATAAGAACAAATGGTGTCTCAGTTGAAATTGTTCCACTTCTCTCACCCATGAAAAAAGGTTTTTTGTTTATGCAAATAAAACAGTTCAACTCAGGGCTCATATTTATTAAGCTATACATCATAAACCATAGAACTAATTATGTTTTAAAGACAGGGTTTAGACTCTACATTTCTTTTGTTGAATATTCTGTATTTAGTAGCAAAGTGATGGTATGTTAAGATTGAGATAATTATATTTTACTTACTGACTAAATCATATGCATCAGAACTGCCAAAGGTGTTTTTCTTTAGAGCACAAAAAATTATTAGCGTTCTGTCATAATAGTGATGCCTGGTAAATATCTTCTACATAAGTGATACTGCTCAGCAACTTCAGTTGACTCCTTCAATGTGTTTGGTAGCAGTAGTCTGTAAAACACAAAAGGGATTATATAAATTGTTTAGGACACAAATAAATTGGACCTAACAGCACATAATATAAAGAGGAGTGTGAGAATTGTTCTCTGGATGTGTATATATAGCTCAAAAGGTTTACTTCTAATAGCAGGATGTGGACACAAAGTTGATCAAAGCTTCATTAGCAAATTTGCAGATCACACCAGGTTGTGGGGGGCATGTTGATCTGCTGGAAGGCAGGAGGGCTCTTCAGAGGGACCTGGACAGGCTGGAGAGTTGGGCTGATTCCAACGGGATGAGATTCAACAAGGCCAAGTGCCAGGTCCTGCACTTTGGCCACAACAACCCCCTGCAGCGCTACAGGCTGGGGACAGAGTGGCTGGAGAGCAACCAGGCAGAAAGGGACCTGGGGGTTTGGATTTACAGGAAGCTGAACATAAGCCAGCAGTGTGCCCAGGTAGCCAAGAAAGCCAATGGCATCCTGGCCTGGATCAGGAACAGTGTGGCAGCAGGACCAGGGAAGTGATTCTTCCCCTGTACTCAGCACTGGTGAGGCCACACCTGGAGTGCTGTGTCCAGTTCTGGGCCCCTCAGTTCAGGAAGGATATTGAGGTGCTGGAGAGTGTCCAAAGAAGGGCAACGAGGCTGGCGAAGGGACTCAAGCACAGGCCCTATGAGGAGAGGCTGAGGGAGCTGGTGCTGTTTAGCCTAGAGGAGGCTCAGGGGAGACCTCATCGCTCTCTGTAACTACCTGAAAGGAGGTTGTAGCCAGGTGGGCATCAATCTCTTCTCCCAGACAACCAGCAGTAGGACAAGAGGGCACGGTCTTAAGCTGTGCCAGGGGAGGTTTAGGTTGAATATTAGGAAAAGGTTTTTTACAGAGAGAATAATCAGACATTGGAATGGGCTGCCCAGGGAGGTGGTGGATTCACTGTCCCTGGAGGTTTTTAAGAAGAGACTGGATGTGGCTCTTAGTGCCATGGTCTAGTAACCACGGTGGTGTTGGATCAAAGGTTGGACTTGATGATCTCAGAGGTCTTTTCCAACCCGGTCGATTCTATGATTCTATTATTCATTTGAGATAAGGCCACAGGGTAAACACACTTAGCTGAACTTTGGAAGACTTCTTGTCATATTGATGGGACCATTTGTCTTTTAGGAACTTCTCGAGTTATGAAGAGAAAGATAAATTATATTTAAATAAATTAAAATATTTTTAAAAATTAAATAAATGTATACTTCAGAATACTCAAATTGTTTCCAGAGGAAACATATTATATATTATTAACTAGAGAAGTGGGTCTAGTGAGCATCAAAGATGGGAGGGGATTGCAAGAGAGGGAGGAAACAGTAACTAAGCAATCTGGACCCCTTAGCAACTCTAACTTGTTTTAGTCACCCAGCCTCTGGTCTCTTCCTTATTCTAGCATCATTCCTTGCTTCTTACACAGCTCCTTTCCACTGCTGTCATCCTGATTTCCCTTACTCCTAATGGCAGCTCAGTTCTGCGCTCCCAGCACAATTCCTGCAGTCTCATCCCTGCAGTATAACCCCCTGAGCTTCCCTGAGCTCCAGTTACCCACAGTTATCAAGGGTTGTCTCCTTAGAGCTGGAATCCAGCCTGTCTCTCTCTCTCTTCATATGTCCCTTTGAGTCTCAGTGTCGTTAGAAAAGCAATTCAGGTTGACAGAGGAAAGAGAAATCTAGTGCAGGGATGTAAGGTTGGAGTAGAAAAATAAATAGTGGGGAGGAAAGGATAAGAAAACAGCTTCACCAAGGGTTCAGTCAAAACAACACCGTCAGAATTACTGGGCTAAAGAAAAGATCTTTGGAGCAACATTTTGAATGTACACAAGAGAGATTTCCTTTGTCAAGACAAAGGAAACTGAGATCTAGAGTGAGGGAACCAAAGTAAACATTTAATTCTGTAGAAGGATAATGCTGCATTTTTGTTATTGGAGAAATTAAAATATAGTTAAGGGAAGTAGTGGTTAAAATCAAAAGAAAAAAACAGAGGCTGCAAAAAATAGCATTAAGACAGTTATACAAGTGAATAATCAAACCCAAAACCTAGGAAGACTTATTGGAATTAGCAAATACTATTGCCAGCCAATGTCAGCTTTCCTCCAACCTATTTTTAATTTACATCCCTTCCACAATGTCTTGTGCTTGCCAGGCATACTTTATGATATTTTAACACTCTTGAGGAGATACATTTAGGAAGCTTCTCTGGCATACCTGGTCAGAAGTAGTAACAGTAGTGGTAGAACAACTTCTTCCTAAACCAGTAGTTAGCATTTAGTTGTTTGTTTTGGTTTGGGTTTTTTGGTTTTTGGTTTGGTTTGGTTTTGTGTTTTGGGGGTTTTTTGTTTGTTGGTTTTTTTTTTTTTTTTGGGTTTTTTTTTTTTGTTTGTTTGATTTTTTGGTTTGGTTTGGTTTGGTTTTGTTTTTTTTAAGA